CTACCTACTACCTACTACCTACTACCTACTACCTACTACTACTACTACCTACTACCTACTACTACTACTACTACTACTACGACTACGACTACGACTACGACTACTACTACGACTACTACTAGTACTACTAGTACTACTACGAAAAGTACGAGTTCTACTGCCACTGCTACTGCTACTGCTGCTCCCACTATTTGTGCAAGTGGAGCATGCAGAGGACGGGACGCGCACCACATGTTGTAGAACATTTTTATTGGTGTCCTATTGTTATGGTACAGCATCGCATACTGTCCTAGACGATGCTATTTGTCCACCTGGAGCACAATGGGGAGGGTGTGCGTTTTGGGCTCACAGCACTGTGCAGTTTAAGCAGGCATTCGGCTACCTGCTAGAAGCATAGAGCCCCAAACTCTTAAACTCAAAGAAAACTAGACTAGACACCAGAACGCCCTGCCCACTCACTGTCAACACGTCTCAGAAATCCAAGTCGGCAATTGCAAATTCCAATTTCACGTCTTAGAAATAGGTCGAAATCCGGCTCTGAGCGCTGGTCCCTGCGTGTCAGTGCGCTGCTATTGCGTTTTGCAAGGTGGCGGCTGTAAATCGGAATAGCATAGCTGTAGCAATGTGGTTTGTATGGTCTGTCTCTGCGCTCCTGTCATTTTGTTTTGAAAGCCAGCGGCTGTAAATGTCAATAGAATAGCTGCCGCAGGGTTGCTTTTTGACAGTTGTGGCGGGTTGCAAACTTCCATTAAAAAACCGCCTCAGATCCATCGCCATTTTGGCGCTTTGGGTTCGAGATCCGGTTCTGAGAGCTAACTGTGTGTTTGTGCGCTGTGGCTATTGTGCTTTGGTTACTGCGTCACGGTGGTGATGATGGTGACGTGACGATGTTGGTGGCGGCGATGCTGTCACGATGATCATTGCTGGCGGCGCAGATGAAGATGAAGATGAAGATGAATAAGAATAATAATAAAACTATGATGATGATGACGACGGTGATGAACATTGTTGTTGTGACTGCAACCTGCGACCTATAGGCTCTTGTGCCCTCGCACGTCAACCTATAGGTTTTTCATTCTGGAAACTTCCTCCCCCCACTTGTTGGGGTACTACTTGTAAACAGATTTACCAGCGGAACATTGCTGCTCTCCTGGGTGATCACCAACTGATTCGCCACCTGGCTGCTGCCAAGGCCTCCCTGAATACCTTTGCCCCTGGCATGCCCGAAACAGTGAACATGCCCGACTTCACACCATTGCATTTGGCTGTATGGTTTAGAAGCTACGACCTCCAGGTGTTGAAGACGTTGTTGGAATTGCAAGCTGATCCTAACAGCTCCGCCTCTGAGTATGTGCCGCGCTGTGGATGCTGTGCAGTTGCTCATTGACCATCAAGCTGATGTGAACTGTCAGGGCAAATTTGTCTTACAACAAAAAACCCATCCACGGAATGGCTGCATTTGGGGCTCCATGCGAAGTGCTTGCCAAGATGTTGGAGCTCAAAGCAGATGTGCTGGGGGGGAAGAGGAGGACTTGCAAGTTTGTCGCCTTTGCACAACGTTGCATATTCAGGCTGCCGTGTTGTCAGCCAAATCTTTGTTGCCCCATCAATCACGCAGCAAAAGCTATTGAACATTGGACATGCCATGATAAAGAGGGATCATTTTGTTGCATGCTGTGGTTCTTTTTAGCCGGCCTAGCCGGCCAAGCCAACTGATTCTGTCCGTTTGCCATTGAAGTCTGGCATGATTTCTGCAGGTGACAGCGACAACGATCTGAACTCAGCGCAGCTTCTGTTGGAGAGCAGGGCAGACATCAACCAAATTCTGCAACCTGAGGGACTCATGAGGATCATTGAACTGTTCTATAGGGCCTATGGTCAATGTTGCAGGGGTCAGCCCAGTATATATACTTGCACGAACCATGATGGACCTGAGCGCCACACCTGTGGGCTGTTGTGCCCTTTATGACAACGAGCGCATGTTGGTCTTCTTGCTCCGTGCTGGTGCAGACAAAGAGATCAAGAACAACAGGGGAAAACGACCTGTTGACGTTGCTCGAACTGAGAGAATCCGATTGATCCTTGAAGATCCGAGTGCTCTGGCTCAGGCGATTTATTCGCTGGAACGCCATTCTAAGACGGTCAGCGAGACCTGCTGACATTTGTGGCCGTTTTCTGATTTGAGGGTTGGAGTTTTAACTTGTCTTACCATGTCTATCCAGGTCTCATTTGAGAATCAGTCGCGGCCGCAAGGCGCCATAGTTGCAAAGAGTGGCTGCCAGTTTCTTCGGGCGATTGCCAACTCCATGGGTTTTAAACATGGCTGGCATGCAGAAGACCCGATTGTCAGCACAAATGAAGCATGCTGACGAATGCTTTTGCCAGCTCTGTGCTATCGGACAACTCTCGAACTTCTGCCCTCTTGCTGCGCTTGTGGCGAGTGATTTGTCGTGCGCCTGATATAACAACTCCTGGTGAAGTGTCCGAAACTCAGCTACACTTTAATGGCTTATTATGGCATTATGACTTAAGCATGTTTAAGTAATACATAGTAAAGTGAGTGAGTGAGTGAGTGAGTGGGTGGGTGGGTTGGGTGAGTGAGTGAGAGAGAGAGAGAGAGCGAGGGAGGGAGGGAGGGAGCGAGTGAGTAAGGGAGGGAGGGAGGGAGTGAATGAGTGAGTGATAGTGACGAGCCTGCAGAATCTGATACTGACATGCATTGATTTTGTTTTTGACAGGGCTGCCATTCACAATGAATCCGTTTCATGTAAGTGGCTGTGGTGCAGGAATACGGTCACAGAAATAAACGCTTTGCCTTTGCCAGAAACGTTTTGGCAGCACGGTACTTCTTGCAAGAAATGGTATGGAAGATGATGCAGTTAACTTAGCTAGAACGTCAGATGCAGGAAGCCGGCTGCAAGCTGTGATTGTTTTTTGTCTGTGCAATGAACCGATGCTGATCTTTAGGTTGTTGGGGGGTCGAAAGTGCCACAGCCAGATTGCTGCGAACATGTTGGTGGCTTGAATGTCCTGCTTTGCTGGCGAGCTGTTGCAGCTTCAAAGATTGTGTGAATCAGCACATGTAGCAGTCGGAGGCCCGAGCTGGTGGTTGGAGTTTATGGTGGATGCTGTATCATTTGCATCGAATGCCGGGGCTGTAAACATTGACTCGACTAGCTGCTGGTTTGCCAGCCAGGTTGGCCTGCGAGTCATGCTTTGGATGGCTCGCATGCTCGGCCTTCTGCTGGCAGCTTTGCCGTGAATTAATATTTGTCTTATTTGTGTCACATGTTCTGTCAATGTTGATTATAAAGTCCATTATATTCTGCACCAGCCCCATACTTTCTCCAGGCAAGTGTGCAGCTGAAGGAGCTTGGGACAGCACCGAGTTTGGTTTTCTCGAAAAACACCATGCAGATCAGTCTGTGGAACGAATGTCTTTGGTGGACACGAATCTTGCAAGGAAGTCATTGGGCAGAGCGTGCCAGTGCTCCCTGCTCTTGGCGCCCGCCTTGCAGATGAGGATCTGCAGAAGGCGCCCACTGGGGCCTTGTCGTGCCAAACACACGCGCGAGCGGGGCCAGCAGTTTCTGCTCACCAGAGCTGGAAACAACTGGATTCATCCGCCAGTTCATTGTTTATGCTGGAACAACAGCTGACCACCACCCCCCCACAGGCTGTTTGTCCTTCTCGCGGAAGGGCCCCCCCACCGCGATCACACAAGTTTCTGCCTCTCGCTGCCGCGCGGCGGCGGCGGCGGCGCTGCCTCGATCGGATCGGGCCGGTCTTCTGGACGTCGGTGGAAGAGACGGTTTCGGTTTCGGCTGCAGGGCACGCTTGCTGGCACTTTCTACGTCCGCACGCCTCGGCTTGTTTCTGGCACGCCGGAGATCAGCTCCTTCCCTGTGCCTGGGTAGCGAGGTGACTTCTGAGAGAGGTTTCTTCCGAATTCTTTTGGGTGGGAAGACAGGGGTAAAACCTCCAAGTAGAGGAAGTGAAGTACGAGCTTGGCAAACCAAGATTGGAATTGAAGGAGTTGACGCCAAAAGAGAATGCTGAAACTGTTGGGGTCTATGCTGGCTTAATCTTTTTCAAGCAGCTGGGGACGTCCATCGATCTATATCGTCGAGCTTGGATCTCGGCTTCTCATGGCAAGCTGCAGGTCTATTGGGGTGCAGATGAAACCACGAAACTCGACTCGCAGCCTCTTGCGTCTTGGCCGTACTTGGCCGTGCTCAGAAGTGCTCCAGTTCTGCAGCAGAACGTGGTGGGTTTATGGTCTATTTTTGTTTTTCAGGCTCTCTGCAGAAGATGATTGTTTTGTTGAATATCATTTTTTTGCGTTTGAACACGCTTGAACTTCTAATGCTGGTGCTCATTCTCTGCTGAATTCTCAGGTGAGCATCCCTGTCTCTGCCACCTTTCCGACTTGCTCAGGAACATCTTGCTCTTCGAGCTTTGTTTTGTGAAAAGGGGAAAAGGAGTCACAAGAAAGCAAGCAGAACAAGAGGAAGGATCCCAAAAGGGTTTTGACATGTTTTGACAATGTATAGGGTAGACGTAGGGTGTAGCCCATTGCCAGCAACAGTCGGTCAAAGAGCAGAGCACGATTCTTGGGATGTCGGCTGGTTTAACCTAACCATCATCATCCACTGGGTCCTGGTGATGGGATAATATACCCAACGTAGAAAGAGGTCAATCATGACTTTTGATCGGAAGCACTGACCTCCAAGGATCACTATCCAGTCGGTATCGCCCACACGCTTTGAGATCTCTCGCGGGATGTCTGGATATGACAACCGCGAGTCTGCTACAGTCACTTTCCCCAGTATCTCAACTAAATTCAGCCTTGAAGCACTGTTGCACTATATACAAAGTAGTTAGAGAGAGAGGGAGGGAGAGAGAGAGAGAGAGAGGGAGAGAGGGAGGGAGGGCGGGAGGGAGAAAGAGGAAGTGCAAGAGAGTAAGTAGTTGCAATGGCTAGAGCTCCCAGGTGCGGGTACTGTGACAGTGCAGCTTGGCGGAGATTGCGTTCGGGTTCTGTTTGTTGACAGCGATGAGAATCGAACTTCGTCATTTGCTGTGTTGTGATCATGTCTTGGTGTACTCAGCTTCTCCTAGTATACAGTATTTCACGTCTCGACCAACACATGCACCGGCACTCAAATTGAATGTATTCAGCTTTCATTTGCCTGTCCTCTTCTCCTGAGAACAATCATCATGAACGCAATTCTACGACACCGACATCGGCCGATTGCGGGTGGGACTCGTCAACCGGGTGGGACATCGTCGGTCCGTTTGTGATGGAGTTTGTTTGTGCCTGAGGACCGAGATGGATATTGAAAGTGGATGGGACTTCTTGTACATCGCCCGGGAATCCTTTACGGGAACTCTGAGCCTCGGAACCAACGCGATGGTCGTCCCTTCGACCTTAGTCAGTTCGTTTGGAGCTAAGCCTCAGATCAATGTGTTGCCTCGTCAGAACTTCTTGCACAAAGCAAGAGAACGCAAAAGGGAAAAGGACCCTGCCAACTCAAAAAGACTTGGCTTGCAGTTCTTTTTCTGGAAGCCAGCCAAGTGTGATATGCACGGAAGATCACACAACCAACCTTTAAGATGGTGTTCTCACTTTTGCTTCCTCATCCAGTGCGAACACTCTTTCTCTCATGCTCCAGCTTTGCAAGGGAAACCGAAGTTCCTGAGGAGCTCCTATGGCGAGATCGTTCGCGAGGTGGCGGCCGGGTGCCTTTGGCAAGACGCGCCGCGGGGAAGTTCAAGGGGCCCCCGCGAAGCCGCCACGTTGTACACTGGGTGGATCTCCTCAGATCGTACCGAGCGGAAAAGCACGGTCCTCGTTTAAACAGGGGTCCTGTTTGCTGCTTTGCAACAAGGAAGAGCTGTACCAGAGATCCGCGTGCTTTGCACCTTCTTTGGAACCATGCTGTCCCCTTCTCTTTCTCATGGTGTTTTTTTTCGGTGCGTCGTCTGAGGCAAGAGTTGTTGTGGAGCACGGATTCATCAGTGGTACGGAATGGATGGATTGTGACCTTCCAAACAACTGCTGCAGTGCCTGCACCGCGATCACGTCGATCACGTCGTGTTTTCCAACGACGGCTCCGCACGGCTCCGCCGCCTCAGAATCCTAGGACTTGCTCAGCACCAACATCGGAGCAACTGCAATTCCACAGGGTGCCTCGCACTTCTTGGTTTACTCCGCCAACTCCAATGGTGAGATGGCCTCACCCTTCCCGGTGCCCATTCATGATATGTTCGCTTGGAGCTCAGCGCAAATCCTTGGAGAATATATTACACAGAGAGATCAAGAGAATCCTGGTGTAACCGTGGATGGCACAAAAGTTGCGACCAAGTCCAGAATGAGGCCTTGCCGGCGCCCTCGGCACTGAGCTTCAGCGATAGCAATGACCTCGCGTACCAAGTGGATGGCCTTTTGCAACTCACGGGGCCCAGTGATACCAGTGACGTGCTCCGCGAGGGGCCTCAGAGTGAACTGCCGGTAGCCGAAAACCTTCGAGGCCTGAACACCGCTTTGGCCGAGAACAGAACTGGTCGACTAGGACGACGGACTGGTCGACTAGGACGACGGACTGGTCGACTAGGACGTTGTGACAGGGTCTCATGGATTCACTTCTGACCTTTGTTTCGGACGCCAGCGAACAGCGCCGCTCTGGGACTTGTGCTTCGCAAGATGCTGCATGTGCTCAGACCACAGAGAAGCTTGGCTGAGCTAAGGCTATGATGTATACTGGGGTGGCGCATCGGGTCGGTTGGGCGTTTGTTCCGCCACCGTTGGCTTCAGATTCGAACCAGGCCAGGATCGATGCATGGAGTCAGTCGGTCGTTTGCGTCGTGTGCGTCGTGTTGTGTGGTGTTGTGTGGTGGAGTCCATTGAAAAACCTCCATATTCTTCAATAATACTAGACTAGGCTCAGACATGCTCAGACATGCTCAGACTTGACTTGGCCACTTGCAGCACGCAACATCACGCAAGACTAGACGACACGTCAGACATGCTCAGACTAGACTTGGCATGACTTGGCAACTTGCAGCACTGTGACCTGATGCGATTCTCCACGTCAGGCATGCAGTTGACCCAAGATTGCCAGGGCCCCAGATGGCCGTGCGGTGTGGGCACCTCCAGCAGGGAGCGTCCCAACTCATCGGTGTTTTCTGTCGGTGAAGCGCCGATGAATCGCCCATCGCGGTGACGACACGAGTCGGACACGAGACTCGTCGAACTCCCCGCGACGGCCAGGCTCCGGTGAGACGCACTTGCAGCCGATCGCCGCGGATCTGGTGCCCGGGCCCACGCAAGTGGGTGGAAAAGGACTTCGTTTGGATGGCAGCTCAGCAGAGATATGACATTTCATGACTTTTCCTCACGAATGGGTCACTAACTAGAGTCGAAAACGACAACTCTCTGAGTGAAAAAAAAGCCGTTCCTGTTCAGGTTCCTTTGCGGCGACGGCGACGGCAGCGACGACATCTTTACAACAACTGGTGCCTTTTCCCAATCCCAGACACTCCATGGGACTGCCATGTATGCTTACATTGACCCCGAAAACCACCCCAATGTATGCATATGGCAGTCCGTTTGTTTTTGTTTGTTGAAAAACCAGTCGTCTCATGTCGTGTCCAACTTCGCTAGCCAAGGTGTCTTGGACAGCTGCAGCATGGGTCAATCCTTCAGTGCAATCGACTCGACTGGTGTCTCTATTTGGATCACCTTATACACATTACGTGCTTGAGCGGCAAATGGATTCATTCAAAGATATTCAACGCCAAGCTGCTGGACACGTTTTGTGTACGTCACATCAATCGCGTGTTCGCGTGTTTCACGTCACATCCGAATGAAAAAACGCCAAGCAAACAACAAAATTCGTCAAGCAAAGCAACAACACTGCCAATATACGAGCCAGTTGTTTCTAGCATTCCAAGACCGAACCGGTTAAACCAGTCCAGTCCGACGGGACGGCTCTTAGGAATACTACTTTGCCATACAGCTGACAGAGGCTTCAGTACCGCGCTGTGTGACCTTTCCGGACCTTTATGGCACGGGCACCCAGTGTGTCGTCTGGTACCTCTCTGCCAGGCGAACGACCACATGTATTTTCTGACATGTCTCGGCGTTTCTTCGACTCAGGCTTTGGTGGCCAGAACTTCTGTGAAGCACCAGCTACCCATGCTTTGAGCCGAAACGTCTGGACGCACGTGACATGCGTCTACGAGGCCCAGGCATCGCTGTCCGTCAAGCTGCTCAGGCCGGGAGCCTTTCCGCAGGTCTCGCCGGTCTCCGCGGTCGCGGACGCTCCGCGACAGCCGCCACGACGCGAGGATCTATGTGAACGGAGCTCTAGTGCAGACGTGCAATGCGCCGGAGCCATCCTTCTCCAGCATGCCTCTTGTCGAGACAGGAGTATGGTGGAGTGGATGTATTTTGAAAACAGTTAGACCTCCCAGAAGTTCTGGAAACACCTCATCTCTGCCAGTTCCACTGCCCCTCCGAGGGTCCACCAGCTCTTCATCGGTGGAGATCCGGTACTTGACCTCAGCTTTGACTTTTCTCGTGGTACTTGACCTCTTCAGTTCATATCTCGTCATGTGACAAGACGACAAACACCAGGAGACCAGCTTTTCCGTTGGAAGTTACCTTCTATTTTCACATTATTAGATTATATTTAGAAAACTACTATTCTAAACTATGCCGGTTCTTGTTGTAATCCATCTCGACGCCTCTGACTGAAAAGACTTCAAAGACTTTGTCTCTCTTAGGTGCCGGTTGAATCGGGTGATCAGTCCTACTTCGATGGTGCGCTGGATGAAGTCGGACTTTGGAATGAGTCTCTCACTCCGGAGGCTGTATCTGACCTCTACATGAGCTACCGCGCCTCGTCTTCATCGGATTCTCCCCGACTCCTCCCAAAAAACGCCCCGAACTCCGCCGTGGCTCGCCGGGCCCAGGTGTAGCCACTTGGTCGGTGGGGGAGACAACAAGCCGGCAGATCAGTGCTAGGGCTCCGCAGGGCTCAAGTACCTTGCACGCGGTGGCCGTCGCCCAGATGCGTTAGATGGGGAAGGCCCCGTCAGGGACCGGTGAAACGAGAGGTGGCGAGAGGTCCACAAGTTTGAGGGGAGAAGGTCCTAGGCTTGTGCTATAGTTTAACAGTCTAATTAATGGTCCAAATCAGGACTTCTGTTGATGTTCCTGATATTAATGATGGAGAACTCTGATTGAGAACGTTCTCCATAATTGGATCTCCCAAAAGCGATCTCCAATGATTTTGTTGTGTTTGTTCTTCTTCTTCTTCTTCCGGGGAAGACTCGGCCAATGTGGCTCGCTCATCCTCCCATCCAAGGTGGGTGAATTCGTGGAAAGCACTCCGCTCGTCATCCCGTTGGTGGATCCTCGGGCTGCAGACGTCGACCAAACGCGTCGACCAAACGCGTGTTTGGGCGTTTGGTTGGACCATCGACGCAGCCGGTGTGTGTCCGAAACGCAAGCTGTAGACTGTTGATGATATCATAAAACCCATAATAAACCCATACAACCCCTCCATATTTGGATTGAACAGCCTTTTTCATAAAGGGGGGGTTTCTTCATCAAGAGTCAGCGTGTGCCGCCGGCGACGCAATGCTATGCTGTCTGCTGCGGTGGTCCACTCTTATGGACTAAACTCAGAGAAATCTTCCAAGGACAACTAGCGTGGCACTTGTTCCTAATAGCTTTTTGTTACTACTAGTAAG